ACGTGAGATACTCTACACGATAGACATTTGGACCGCTGTGTGTGTATTTGAGCTCTGAGAACTGATCGCACACTGTATATGAGAACTGAAGAAGTGGAGCGTGCGCGAGAGAGAGCACTTCTATCAGCACGATTCCGCCTTCACTAACTTTAAGTTAATCGACAACGAATTGTGTCTCCCTGGAAAAGAGGCCATTGTTTCAGATTGCTAGTTCGCATTTTGGTAGCCTATATGCTGCCATACTGAGACTAGATATGCAAACGCCCCTTATCTGATTGCAATCCAATGAGAGGGATGCACATTTTGAAAGAGGACAGTTAGCATATTCTATAGGATGCGTTTTGAATGTCCTGTAGTCCTCAAATAACATATAGTCCCCTCTCGTCTAGTTAACGAAGACACGGCATAAATTTCGTCATCAGCTATTAGTTTTAGCTCGTCAACGTCTCGTCTTAGTCACAGAAAAAATGTTCCTTAACGAATATTTTTCGTCTTCGTCTTCGAGATGCGTTTTGAATGTCCTGTAGTCCTCAAATAACATATAGTCCCCTCTCGTCTAGTTAACGAAGACACAGCATAAATTTCGTCATCAGATATTAGTTTTAGCTCGTCAACGTCTCGTCTTAGTCACAGAAAAAATGTTCCTTAACGAATATTTTTCGTCTTCGTCTTCGTTGACGAAATTAACACTGACCCAAACAACCACGCCCCTATTTTGAAATCTCAACCCTACACGTGCGTACGCAACCATGGCAACGACGATCGCCGAAACAAGCGATGATGACACACGAGATCATTGCAAGACACGCCCCCTTACTGCTGATTGGCTGCAAGTGAGTTTTGGGACTCGGTCCGATGCTGTTTTTCAAAAATCACTTATTAGGGCACCTTTAAGTAGCACATGTATATTCATACATCTCAGTTAAAAAAAAAGACACTTATGACTGGTTTTGTGCTCCAGGGTCACAGATATGGTTTTGTTTGGCGCTAAAAAGGGTTATTTTATTGTTAAGTGCCAAGAACCACACCCAGAAGGCTTGCACCATCGGCGCATAATGAAATTACATTTTCACAGACATAATAATTAACAAACCCAGATTCTGCAGCCTGAGGTGACGCTCGTCATATAGAGAAGTTATAGGTTGCTTATGCAACATTTTCATAGTAATTAAACACAACTTTCACTAGCGTTTTTAGATTAATGTTAGGACAAAATGTTCTTAAAGCAATGTTTATTGAATGTTCTTATAACTTTTATTTATATATATATATATATATATATATATATATATATGTTTATATATATATATATATAATTCATATTTCATTTATGTTCTCATAATGTTGAGAGAAAGCATTCTGAGATCAACATTCTCTGGATAAACAAATAATGTTCTACTCACAAAAAGAAAACTGGACGTTTTCTTAGAACATTTAAAATAAACATTTAAATAATATTACATTTTGGGTAAAATAAACTTAGTAGAACATTACAAGAAACATTTTTGTAACCTTTAAATAACATTGTATTCATGACGAGAAAACTGGACATTTTAGCACTCTTGGAATATTACAAATAAACATTCAAATAACAACATAATTTCAGGTGAAAATAAAGTTAGCAGAATTTTGCAAGAAACGTTTTGTACCCTTTAAAACACATTCTAATCACGACAAGAACTGGACATTTTAACGTTTGTAGAGTATTTAAAAAATAAACATTCAAATAGTGTTATATTTTGGGTGAAAATAAAGTTAGTAGCAAAAACATTTTGTAAACTTTAAATGTTATAATCACAGCAAAAAACAATCACAACATTTTAACATTTTAGAAACAGCATTTTTCTAAGCTACATTTACAGTACTGACTCGTTTATGCGAGTGTTTGTGGAGAAACATCTGAGACTAAGTTCACACATGACACTGAGAACTAATTTAAATATTATAAGCAACTAAAACACAGTTGGTTAAGCTGGTTAAATGTCTAAATCACACTCTCCATGTCTCAGTGGAAGATGAAGTGTTGTCCGTGTGACTCTCGTAACCCGGCGGCCTATAATGCGCACACGATCCAGAACGTGATCTCCAGCGCCGGGCCCAACCGATGGTGGCAGTCTAAGAAAGGTAAGGCATCAAAACATTACATTAAACATCAATTACAACAATAGGATACACTATTAAGCTATAAGCCAGTAGTAGTTCTGACAGTGTCGTGTAAACATGGACGAATAAGGCACGAAAAGCGGAGGAACAGAAAAATCGATTCGATTAAGTGAGTCATTTACTCTGGATCAACTCCGGGTGATTCAAACTCATGATTTCGATCATTCAGTTCAAGCAATTCTCTAGCAAAGAACAGATCAAAAGAGCCGTTCATTTTGGAATTTCAACATCGCTTGTAACAGAGCTTTTCGAAACTCCGAATCAGTTAAACCGCTGCGTCTCAAAATGATTCACTGTTTTGAAGCGTTCCAATCGGATCGCAAATCATTTGATTCAGATAGGGACTTCAAAGCATGTATTGCGAATTATTTGATTCAGATGGGAAGCAGGTTCGTGAATCTTTCGTGACTCTATTTCGCAAATCATTATTCAGATCGGAAGTCCGGACCGTGAATCGCGAATCACGAATAATTTGATTTAGATCGGAACTTCGGAGCGGGTTCGCAAATCTTGATACAGATCGAAACTAAGCAGGTGAATCTTTTCATTCCGATTGGGACTCTAGTTCACAACCGAATTATTATTTAGATTGGAACTTTGGAGTTGGTTCGCGAATCATTTTAATTCAGATCGGAACTAAGCGGGTTCGTGAATCTTTTGATTCAGATCGGGACTAGTTCGCAATCGGATCATTTGATTTAGATCAGAACTCCAGAGCAGGTTCACGTATTTGATTCAGAACGCAACTAAGCAGGTTCGTGAATCTTTTGACTCTATTTCGCGAATCATTATTCAGATCGGAAGTCCGGACCGTGAATCGCAAATTATTTGATTTAGATCGGAACTTCGGAGCGGGTTCGCGAATCTTTTGATTCAGTTCGGAACTAAGCAGGTGAATCTTTTCATTCAGATCGGGACTCTAGTTCACGATCAAATTATTATTTAGATTGGAACTTTGGAGCGGATTCACGAATCAGTTCATTCAGATCGCAAACAAGCGGGTTCGTTAATCCTTTGATTCAGATCGGGACTAGCTCGCGATCGAATCATTTGTTTTAGATCGGAACTCCAGAGCAGGTTCACGTATTTGATTCGGAACGGAACTAAGCAGGTTTGTGAATCTTTTGATTCTAATCGGGACTCTAAAACTTTGCGAATCATTATTCAGATCGGAACTCCAGAGTGCGTATCGCGAATCATTTTAATTCAGATCGGAACTAAGCGGGTTCGTGAATCTTTTGATTCAGATCGGGACTAGTTCGCAATCAAATCGTTTTATTTAGATCAGAACTCCAGAGCAGGTTCACGTATTTGATTCAGAATGGAACTAAGCGGGTTCGTGAATCTTTTGATTCAGATCGGGACTAGTTCGCAATCAAATCGTTTTATTTAGATCAGAACTCCAGAGCAGGTTCACGTATTTGATTCAGAACGGGACTAGTTCGCAATCAAATCATTTTATTTAGATCGGAACTTCGGAGCGGGTTCACAAATCATTTGATTCAGAACTAAGCGGCTTCGTGAATGTTTTGATACAGATTGGGACTCTAATACTTCACGAATCATTATTCAGGTCGGAAATCTTCTAGATCGGAGCTTTGAAGTAGCTTCGCGAATCTTTTGATTCAGATCACAGTACCAAACTGTATTGTTTAGAAAATATTCAGTACATACTTTAAATTGACTTAAATTAATTTAAACTCTAACTTTAATTAAATACTTCATATTTATTCATATAAAAATAAATAACATGTAAACCATTTAAGGATTATGCAAAGCAATTTTACAGTGATTGTGTGTTTATTCCAGATGTGAGTCCCGTGGCGCTGCAGCTGGATTTAAATGGAATGTATCACCTGGAAACCGTCTTACTCTCTTTTAAGGTATCTGATATCCATCTCGCTGTCTTTAATTTATGAAGCACTGTTTTCTAACGCCTCATCTGTCGTCCCGTAGGGCCCGAGGCCTGATGCGCTGATCGTCGAGAGGACGAGGGATTTCGGTCGCTCTTGGCAGCCCGTCCTGTACATGGCCACCAATTGCCCATCCACCTTTCCTCAGGTGAGCAATTCGTTCCCTCGCACCCTCGAGGAAACGTACTGCTACACGCTGCCATCCACCACCGACGACCCCTACAGGGACCAGAAGGTAAGACAGCCTTTCACTTACGTTTTTTTAAAAGTTTTATAAATGTTAAGACAAAATGTTCTTACAGTAATGTTTATGGAACATTCTTACAACTGCATTAATATTTGATATACGTTCTCATAACGTTAAGAGAAAATGTCTCAGAATGTCGTTACGATGTTATGTGTACTTGAAAAACGTTCTCTTAACGTTAAGAAAATGTTCATAGAAAAAAACATTTGGAACATTCTTATGACGTTATTTATAGAGGATGAATGCTCCTCATAACATTTTGTGAAAGCGTTCTTGTAATATTAAAAATTAACATTCAAATAACGCATTTTGGGAGAAAAAACGGTAGTAGAACATTGTAAGAAACCTTTATATAACCTTCGAATAACATTCTAATTATTACAAGAAAACGACTTTTTAATGCTCTTAGAATATTAAAATACATGTTCAAATAACACTATATTATGGGTGAAAATAAAGTTAGTAGAACATGTTTTGTAACCTTTAAATAACGTTTAATCACAACAAGAAAACTGGACATTTTAACGTTTGTAGAATATTAAAAATAAGTGTTCAAATAATGTTATATTGTGGGTGGAAATAAAGTTACTTATGTCAAATGTTTTTAACCTTTTAACCTGTTTTAACCTTTAAATAATGTTCTAATCATGACAAGAAAATGAGACATTTTTAATATATTAAAAATAAATGTTCCAATAACGTTATTTTTTGGTAAAATTAAGTTGAATGATAAAGAATGTTGTTTTTGTAACCTTTAAATAGCGTTATCATGACAGCCAATCTGAACATTTCAACGTTTTAGAATGTTCAAGATAAACATTCAGATTTTCGGTTATAAGGAATGTTAGTAGAACATTGTAAGAAACATTTAAATAACGTTATAACCACGAAAAGAAAACTAGACATTTTAACGACAACGTTTTTATAACCTAAATGTGTTCGCTCAAGTTGACATTTCTTTTCTCTTCTCAGATTCACTTTTATCCTCTGCGTCAGTTCGCGGACATCGATCTGCCGAACGAATACAAAATCGAAGGTGAGTTATTTGGACTTTCTCAGATGATCGAAGTATTAACGAAGTGTGCGGATGATTGACGGCTGCTCTGTCCCTCAGTGGCGTCTGGGTTCACGGGTGTGCGGATCAATCTGACCCAGCTGGGGTCGGTTCCCAGCATGCCGGGCCGCAGTTTGAACCAGTTTTACGCCCTGCGAGAGATGCGGGTGATCGGATCCTGCTTTTGCCACGGACACGCCAACCGCTGCAACGACCTGCCCAACACACAGGTCACACACATACCCACACACACACACACACACACTCTCTCTCACACACACACACACACTCACTCTCACACACACACACACACTCACTCTCACACACACACACACACTCACTCTCACACACACACACACACTCACTCTCACACACACACACACACTCACTCTCACACACACACACACACTCACTCTCACACACACACACACACTCACTCTCACACACACACACACACTCACTCTCACACACACACACACACTCACTCTCACACACACACACACACTCACTCTCACACACACACACACACTCACACACACTCAACCCCACATTCGCGGCTCATACATGTGTGTTTGTTCTGCAGGTGGGCGGTGTGTGTGAGTGTCAGCACAACACGGCTGGCGTGAACTGTGAGCGATGTGACGACCTCCACAATGACCTTCCCTGGAGACCCGCGGAGAATGGAAACACACACACCTGCAAACGTACGGCTGCTCACACACACTGCACTGCATGTGACGATTTAGCGGCTAATGAAATTCATTATAATTATACTATTATTGGCTATCTAGTACATACTGCCTACTATGTGTATGTAACAGTATGAACTCATTACTAGTAATCACCACAAAAATAGATATTTTAGTGTTTTAAAATTTTAAAGCAATTTTTTTTGGAGTAAAAATGTCTTATCTTTTTACACAAAAAATTAAGTAATAAATAAAATAAGAATTAAATTAATAAATATGAAATAAAAAATGAATTAAAATTTAATTATTAAATCGACAAATAAACATCAAATTGAATTACATTAATAAATCTTCAATAAATAAATATGAAATTAAATCAACAAACATATAATAAACTGTTATTCCATATTGTGTGTTTCTGCCCCCTGCAGGCTGTGAGTGTAATAATCACGCGGATCGCTGTCACTTTGACGAGCAGCGTTACGAGGCGACAGGTCGCAGGAGCGGAGGAGTGTGTGACGACTGCACTCATCACACCGCCGGACCCAACTGTGAGCACTGCGCTAACAACTACTACAGAAACCCTCTGAGCGACATCAGGAGCCCCGACGCCTGC